CAAGGTCATGCAATTAGTTCTATAACTTTACTTTCTTTTCTATACTCCTGCTCCTTTCAAGTCTCTCCTTCCTTGTTTCTCTTACCAACGTTCTGTCCCCCCACCCCACTTCTCTGCTGATTACTTCTTGGACTTACCCTTGCTTCATGAAATTCCCTGGGCCTTAAATGATGAGCTACTTACTGGGTCTTTGCCAATTCGTCACCCCTCACCACTAATTCATCACAACATTTGGGACAAGGAGAGGAGGGAAGTGGAACAATTTTAAATTTACTGTGATCTTTGAGACAGCTTTATCTACACCTGGGAATTGCTGTTAGACAATTAAGTTTAGTAAAGCTCATTGAATTTCTCAGAGGAAAGGTGTTATTTGAATTATTACCAGATAATTATTGTTAAAAATAACAATAATGTAAAAAATAGGAACTTTACATGTTAGAGACATTATTATTTTAATTTCCAGTGGGGGGAGAAAAGGCCTTGGGGACCTAGAAATGATCTTTTTTTTTTCCATAATGTGCTCTTTGCCGGAAACTCCTTGAATTCTGTCTAATGCCTGATGACCTGACACACTGGCCCAGAATCCAGCCAGCAGAGCCTTGCGAGCTGTTGGCCAGGTTATTCAGCGCGACCTGCTCCCTCAAACACAGCCCTCAGTGGGAGCGTGTCGGAAGAGAGTGTGGCAGCTCGCGAGGGCAGCAGTCAGACTCCATCCCAGGCCAGTCGAGTTTGAGAGGCACCTGTAGGGTAGATGAGAAGACTGTTCTCATCTCCTGATAAGAAGGGGCTGGGAAGAATCTACACTGCCCGAGAGTTTCTGAAAGAGTTCCTTCACCTGAGGTCTGTTCTCGGCTCTTCCAGTGGCTCTGAACCATCACAGAAATAGCATAAGCGTGTTTCTTGTGCTGACATCACAGTGGGAATGAGAAGCGAGTCCGTGCCATGTTGGAGCTGCTGCCGTACAGTGAAAAAGAAGGACAGATTTAGAGTTAGAGAGATCTGGCTTCGAACTCTGCCCCTGCTAGGCACGCCTTTCTAATCTTGGAGAGGTTGCTTGAGCCCTGTGAGCCTCACTTTTCTTCATCTGAAGAATGGGTATGGTAACACCTGCAGAAAGGCATTGCTGTGAGGGTTACATTTAGAATGTCTTTACATTTGAAAGCGCATGATGCAGCCCCTGACAAAATTTAGAGGTCAAATAAATGGCTGCTATTAATTGTTACTGTTATCTAGTCATGAAGGCCCCATCTGTCATTTTAGAAGGACCTGGTGTGGTTCCTAAAGAACGGGAAGGGCCACCCTGAAATAAGACCTTGCAGGAAGTCCCTTACAGTGATGTGTGGCAGTTACATAACAGCTCTGCTGGCCAAGGGCTTCCGAGGCAGAGCTGCAGAGACGACAGCAACAAGCAGGCTGGGGTGGGAATGACCCCCCGTCTTCTGCCTCTGACACCAGCAAGAACCTGCAGCTGGGTTCCAAGAGCAGACTCCTTCTTACGGTGATGATGTAAGAGGCGGGGAGACGGCTGTATTTCCCCATTCTGGGAAGAATGCATGGCCCCAGCAGCCTCTCAAAATTCTCTTTTGACTTAAGAACTGACATCATTGGTTATGGACATCATGACAAAAAGAATAAATGTGAAACTTCATGAAGTCATTTTCACTGCATCTTTTTTTTTTTTTTTTTGGAGGAGAACCACCCTTTAAGCAATAAAACATGACACACCACGTGGTATTCTGATTAACAGACCCTCAGGTGTGTGCTGAGGCCAGAGGGGAAGGAAGAAGGCTCAGGTGACAGCTGTCAGAAAATGAAAGGAAATCAGACTGCAGGGTGTGGGACTAAGAAAGGGGTTAGATTAGAGGACCGGGAGCTCATGTATCCATTCAATTATAAAATGCACAATTTAAATCAAACGCTAGGCATATTTAAAATGCACACTTATGTAATTACACAATGGATTTGTATGCTTCCAGGCAATTTTTCACTGTGATGTAGCAGACATATCGATCAGTGATTTCCTTTATCATTGTAATGTAGTTGCTGGGGTGAGAAAAGACAAGGCAGCTCTGTTTGGTGAGTGTTGAGAACCTGTCCAGCCATCTGATGGTTGAGTCAGAGCTATGAAGAGCTCTCGAGCCCCATTTACTGTTTATGTGGCTACTGGGTTGTTGAGAGTTAATGGACATTTCAATGCAAAGCGTCGCTCCCCCGTATTGGCTGAAAACAGTGTGATTAATAACAGCACCAAGTTTATCCTGAGTAATTATGAGTCGAGTGCTCACCTGAAGTCAGAGGAAGTCTCGAGGACTGTCAGCTAAGATTTAAAGGCTGAGTTTTTGTGTCCAAGTAAACACTGCTGAGATCTTCTGGAAAAGTCTGTTTTCCTAACCTAGGTAAACACTGTGATCCCACGGCATGTTTGGTTCAGCTTCTCATCTTTTGGTGAGAGAAAATCATTCTATTTGAGGATAGAGACGAGATTCAACAATTAATGTTTCTTCCAGCACAAGAGGAGAACAAGGAAGGAAAGTAGACATGGGAGCAGTCATCTGTGCATTTCTTACAAGTAAACTAGTTACCTGATGGGAGAGAAATAAGTAAAAATGTAAACTGATAAATACTGGGCAGAGCTAGGTTGAAAAGAAGTGTTGATGTGGCCATCGTAGCAAAACTGCCAGTAGCCGGTGTCCACATAAGGTCAAGAGTGTAACCGCAGGATGACTGCAGCGTGTTCTCACCCAGAACTTCTGAAACCCCCGCTTCTGCAGAGCATGAGAAATGCCTCCATTCTGGTTTTCACCCTGAGTTGATCACCCCAGTGGTATTTGCAGTGTTGTCATAATTGTTTCTGCTGGTGATGGTAGAATGGTTTGCTTCCTTGTTCTTTAAATCCACCTCATTTTTAAAATATTATTTAACTATAAAACAATATTGATTTGTTTGGTTTATTGAAGTGAATAAGTGAAACAATAGTATCTATTTTTTGGAACCTAGTATATCCTTGCAGACTATGTATTCCCAACCCCTCCCTCCCCCTCGTGTGGTCAGTGCTGACGGTCTGCTGGGCCAATTGGTGCTGAGCAGGCTCTGAGAGATAGTTAGAGATTTGTGACCTTTTGTATCAATTAGCATTACTCACTGATAACAAGGAGGAGGTGTTGAGCAAGTCAGTGCCCTTAATCTCCTCAACTGAAAAACGAGGTTGGCATAGATGAGCTTTAAGGTCTTTCGAGTTCAGTCTCAGTTTCCATTCACTCTAAGCAAGAATCTTTTTTTCCTTTTAAATGTGGTTCAAAGGACATCAGCTGAGCGCAAACCTGTGTGCAAGGCATGCACACTACGGGGCACACAAAGTAAAAGCTCCTCTGCCTTCAAGGTGCTTCAAGGGGGAAGGTAAACTGGACACGTAGTTATCAAAGGCCACAGAATGTGCAAAGCGCTTAGTGCAGAAGTGCTTCAGGGTTCAAGAAGGGCACCTTCCTTTGGGAGAGGCTTTGTCAAGGAGGTGGCATTTGGATGGCCCTTAAAGAAGCTATATGTAGACATTGGGGAAGGGTGGGACTTCGCAGCGGTGCAGAATGGACTGTAACGATGAGAGTAGGAAATTAGATCGGGGCTGTAATACAGGGGCCTTGAATGCCAAACTGAGGAGTAAGCAAAACAGCCAAGAAGTGATGTGTTCACAATGGTACGTTAGAAAAACGAATGTAGTACTGATTATGAAGGATGGGATGGTGGTAAAGAGAATCTAGAGGAAGTGAAGGCGGTTAGGAGGCTCTCACAGAAGTCCTGGTAGCAGGTGGTAAAAGGATAAATTTGTATTGAGGTAGAAAGCAAGTATTGATGCACGAAGCACAGCCTAATAAAAAACACAGAACTTGGCAGCTGCTTAGATTTGGGAAGCGAAAGGAAAGGAGGCGTTGAAGATGACTCCTCAGTGGTAAGCCCAAGTAACTGGATGAAGATGGACCAATGGCAGGAAATGAGAAGGCTGGAGAAGGAACATATTTTGAGGGAAAGGCAGTAATTCTGTTTAAAACTTTATGAATTTGAAATGCCTGTGCAGTGTTTGATGGAGTATTGACCTTTTCCAGGTGCCTATACAAACACTGAATGAATGAATGAATGAATGAATGAATGAATGAGCCAATTACCAGCCCCTATTTAGATGCTGGTCTGGAGCCCTGTAGACAAGCAAACACTAAAGATAGCAATGTGGGTGTCCTCTTTGAAGAAGTGATGGTTGAGGTCATGGAGGGCGGGTGTAGGCAAAGCCTGAGGAGAGAATCTTGAAGTATATCTAAATTTAGGAACAAGAGAAAGAAGATCAGCTGGGGGGAGGCAGAAGAGAAAACTGAAGGCAGGAGGAAAGTCAGAATAATGCAGGGTCCCGATAAGAAGGGAGGAGAGTTTCAGGAACCCAGTGTGGCCAAAGATGCAAGGCCTGGGCAAAGGCCTCTGAGTGTGAGGCTCTGAGACAGATGGTAGTCAATTCTGTAGCCCCTAAGCTGAATCCACAGGTTAGAGGATGTGCAGGAAAGGGGGCGCTTGTAGTGCAGGGTAGAGAGAAGGAAAGAGCTTAGAAACGTGGCCAGGTCAGTGGGTGTCTTGAAATAGGTAAGAGCTGAGCACTAAAGAAGGAGAGACTGTAGTAGAATCAAAAACACTGGGAGAAGACTCAGCTGTGGCAAAAGTGATGGACACTGCCCTCCCCCCACCCTTTGCCCTGCACCTCAGCTTCCCCTCAGAACCACAGAATCAATTCCAGCTGCACTGACAGGTGCTGTTGATACTGCTGAACCACGCAGGCCGTCGGGTAGACACACTGAAAATGGAGCTGGAGGACATCCTCTCCAGTCTCCTTCCCTGACCTGTGGTCCCCTGGTGCACAACCAGCCTCTCAACCCAGCCCCCCTGTTCTGTGTCCATCAAAACGGATGGTTACCATCACTATTCATTTAACAGCCTGGTTTTTGTTTGTTTCTCGTTTGATCTAGATGCAGCCGCTCTCTGTCCCCTGCCCCAATGAACATCTGCACTAGGCCCAAGCCTTGGAGTGATTTACCTGAAGAGTGACACCATTTATTTGGAAACTACTGTGAGTACATCATGCCTCCAGTAAAAGGCCTCCTAGTTCACTGTGTTTAATTTTAAAAAACAACACATACACAATTGTAAAAGCAGATGAAATTTTAGATGGCTTCATCTGTTGGATGCAGCGAGGTAATCAAAGTCAGTCCTGGGTGCCGCTGCGCTTCTCAGCTCCAGCCTGCAGGGCACGCCCAGGGCCCGTCACCCGGTCCCCTCCAGGCTGATGCTGTTCTGCTCGCTCATCTGCGCCTCTCCCGGAAGCAGTGGCGGCTCCTGCCCAGCTTGTTCACCTCTCATCACCCCACTGTGCCACTCTGTTGAGTCTCACTAGAGCTTGTCATTTCATGCCACCCTGGTCAAATCTGGGAGCCTATTTCCCTCACCTGTTTGTTCTTGCTGTCTGCTCTGTGTCTGTGTGCCTGTGCCATAGCCTCCTTGCTACCCTAGGGAACCAAGGCCCGCCCGTGGAGCTCTGGGCGCCTTCAGCCACATCCCTCCGCCATTGTATCCAGCTCAGCTCTGCCCTCTGAATGCATAGCTCTGTGCACTGGGTTTAGTTCCCTCCATAACACGTTTATGCAGAAGCACAGCCCTTGCGAGGCGAGGTCTAGAACTAAGATGGAGCAGGAGATGGGATGCCTCTAGGAAGACACTGGCGAAAGACTGATACCGGATATTCATTAATCGTTGCTAAAAGTAACAGACGAATATATGGGTTGTTTTGTGTTTTTTTAACTAGAAAAGCCAAGAATTTAAATTATTTAGAAGCAATGCATGCAAAATAGCTTAATTGCACATTTTAAAACAAAAAGTCATTGTATTCACAAGTTCTCTTATGTGGTATGAGGCAGGTAATGGGGTAGTCTTTTCCAGACATCTCTTTTACTGGAAAACGCTAAACCTGGGAGGCTACCACCCCTCTTAGGTCTCAGGTAGGATTTTCACATTTATATTTTTTATGTCTTTAGCTATTCTGATGAAAATCAAGCCCAGAGGGATAAAGCCAGGGTTTTTGTTTTGTTTTCTTTTGTGTTGCTTCTTACCCTGAATGCTTTAAGTCCCCTGAGCTGTAACTGATGGCAGCGGATGTTCAGGGGAGAGGCAGGCCCACCTGCCCCAGTGGAGATGGGGGCCACCAGAGTGCCCTGCAGCACCAGTGGCTCCAAGTGACTGGGGACCAAGGACATGACATGAGATCAAACATGGAGTTTATCCATTCCATACCTAGGCAAGGAACTTACTTGTGTGGACACCTCCATTCATCCTGAAGTTCAGGTGCGACGTGGGCCTTAGAATTCCCACATCTGGGTGGTTTTCTGAGTTTTCTTCATCCCAGAGTAACTGCTGGTGCCGGTAGCACAGGTGTCCTGGGATGCAGCCAGTTTTCAAAGTTCCTGTATCCTTCAGGAGAAGAAAGAGGCTTTGCCACACCCACCTCCCCGTGCTGCAGAGCCCAGATCCTGACCCAGAAACCAGGACCTGGGGTCTCCTGGAAATCACCGGGCAGCCCGCCAGTGAGTGTTTTTTCTGCCACTGGCAGTGTGTCACCTGAGCAGAAAGCCAGTGCCTGCGTGCACGTGGCACAGGTCCTGGAGAGTGGACAGAGCGGGTCTAATCCTTGCCACCTCTGCTTTTCAGAAACTCAGCTCCTCATACATGAAGGAAAAATAACAATAAAACTTAAAGAGGCTTGCTAGGCGCAAAAAGCAGTAAGGTGATTAAAGTACAAAAATGTCGACTAATTATAGAACTTGGTCCCTTCCTGGGCCTGTTCTCAAGGCTTAGGGGTTGGTAGGATGGGGGCAATTGTTAGATTTAAAATCTGCCCCCTATCACACCACCTGGACAGCCATGCTCAGTGGCCCTGCCTGCTTACCTGGACTGTTGTGAAAATTAACAGAGAATGCATATGTCGTGTCTGGCACAGCAGAGGTCAGTGTATTTACACCAGCAACTAAAATTTCTTGGACATTCACTGTGCCTGGCACTCTTCTAGGCACCAGAGTTATGGCAGCAAACAAACAAAAACACCTGTTGTCATGGAGCTTACATTCAGTTTTCTTCTCCTGTGAATGGAAAATAGACAAAATAGGTAGGTGGATGCTGAAAGAGAACTGATTTCATTTGATTTTACTGTGTATTTCCCTCCAGAAAGTAAAATTGAGAGGAAAAGGGTAAAGGAATGGAGAGGGAAAGAATAGACATGCCTATTAGTCTCCCACTACCCCCAACAGACACACACACAACCCCAGAACCCTTCCGCGCCCTGATGTGTGGCCCAGGTGGCCGACCTCTCTGGACTCCCTTGCCCAGCGGTCTTCTCCTCTGGCTTCCCTTTGACTTTGGCCTCCAGGAGACATCAGCAAGAGGTGTGAGAGTGGGAGGAGACCGAGGTCACAGCATTTACACGCCAGCCCCCTTCCCCACTCCAGTTCAGGCACCACGCCTTCCCTCGCTCCTTCGGTTTAGCAGCTTTCCTCCGTGGCTAGTCCTTGAGGCTCCGCCATCCCTTAACCTCATCTGTACCTCAGTACACAGTCCTTTTCATTAAACTCTCTCCAGTTAAAACCTTTGAGTGTGCCATCTGTTTTCTTGCCAGGATCCTGATTGATACAGTGGGAGAGATATACACTGAAAAACACTGTAAATCATCCTTGCCAAGAAGGTTAAAAAAAAAAAAAAATGGAGAGAATAAAATGTTTTAATCATGAAAACATCTTAAATTGATCTAAGAACATTAGACCAAGTAGTGAAAGAATAAATGGTAAGAACACGTGATAAGAGAGGGTGCCGGAGGTTGGTTTTACTGACTAGACCATAGTGCTTAGGTTTCATGGGCTTCTGTAGGCCAAGTGCAGCTCATTTGACCCTCGGTGTCAGCAGTGACAGTTGTGAACAGAAAGAAGGTGTCAGGAGGGGGATACAGGAAGGTCAAAGTGCTCAAGAACAGATCACTTGTCCTTTCCACCTTTGCTACAATCACAGTCCATTTGCCTCTGCCCAAATCTAGATATTCAAAAAGGATTGCTGAAATTGAGGAAGTGCCCTGTTCTAGCTGATGTGACAAAAGCCCCAGAGGTGGCACTCTCTGTGAAGAGAGCCACCATCATTGGGCACTGACCATGTGCCAGAACTGTGACAATCACTGGACATGAATGATCTCATTTAATTCTCCCAACAGCCCTAGAAGGTCGGTATTACTATCTCTACTTCACAGATGAGGAAACTGAGGCCCAGAGAAGCAGGGTGATCTGTCTGGAGCACACAGCTACTAGATGGTGGAACTCAGTTCTGTCACCAATCCTCATTGGGGTGGTTTGTTACCACCTGTCCTTTGCCCCATCCCCAAACACCCTACTAAGCCTTTCTCAATGCACTGTTGGGAAAGACAGTAGGGAAATGCTTTCTAGTCCAAAAAGATCGGGGGAGAGCATCATTGGTCTAAATTATCGTGATCTAATGACTGAGCAATTATTAATAAAAAGGAGGTTCTCAGTAATTCTTTCGCAGCCAACCAGGCTGGTAAGTGGAAGGCATGCTAATGTGCAGGAGCGGGTGGGAGCCCAGCGGAGAGAGAACACTGGGAGAGAGCTAGAAGAGAGCACTCTTCTCTCAACAGACCCTGGAGACTGATAAGAGCTCACACAGATAAAATATTTATTTTCCATATGTTGCGGAAAGCATTGCCATCACTGTATGTGTGCAATATGTGCAAAGAAGTGCGAAATATATGCATCAAATGCCACCGATCTGGTTAATTTCCATGCATTTCACATGCGTGATACCTACGTCTCATCAATATGTTTTAATGCATATTTTTTTCCACATACAATATGGTCTAGTAAGGAAAGAGCCAACATCATCCACAGCCGTTCTTACTGCTAGGTTTCAGCCCAGAACTTGTTGCCAGGGCCAGCACAATGAGAGTTAAAAACCAGAAGGTCCTGCTGGCTAACCCAGCTGCCAGTCACCTTAAAACGCCTTCCCAGTTCTTGAAGCAGTCTTTTTCTCATAACAGAAATGTTTGCAGCGGGGAGACGAAAATGTTTTTGTTCTCTTCGGACAGTGGGGAGATACTCGGTCAGAATGTCAGAACCAACCGTTGAAAGGCAGGTGCCCGTGGCCACACTTTATTTTGAATGCAGAGCTCCCACCAGGGTGGCGGGAGGAAGTGCACAATGATTGGTCTGTTTCTCAGTGCAAGTGTTCAGGGTACACCCAGTTTTGCTTTGCATATATTTACGAAACATCTGCCCTTTTCTTGTTCTTAAATCCTTCCCCCTCACCAGCCCCCTTTCCCCTTTCTCCCAGTTCCTTTCTTTGTTGTTGTTGGCCTGTCTAACTTTTTCGTTGGAGCTTTCATTTTCCGGTTGAGGGGCGACTTCATCAGAGTGTATAATTTTAACACTGAGGGAAAGAGGAGGGTTGGGGGGGTGGAGAGAGAGAGAGAGAAGATGGAAAAGAGAGAGAAGAGAGAACTGAAAAGAAAGAAAGAGGCTGAGCGGCCAGAGCTTGGCACACCAACCTTTGGCATGGTGACCAGGAGGAAGGCTCTGGTCTGGTGGGGAGGTCGCCTCTCTGAAAGGCTCCTGGAGTCAGCCGGTGTGCTGCTGCCCTCTAAAGGCTCCAGGGAGCAGTGCACAGCCGCAGAGGCAGAGAGACTGCTCCTCAGATGTGCCATGTTTGTGTAAGTCTTTCTACACAACCAAAGCAGGTATTTTCAGTGAATTACTATAGGACTTGTTCTTTTCTCCTTCATAAACTATGAGCTGCAGAAATGGGGTCAAAATAACCCACCTGTGCATTTGTAGACATAGACTGAAGCTATATCTCAGTGTTTCTCAACTCTGGAAAACGAGGTCCTAAAGGACTGTTAGAGAAAGTGAAATGGGAGTGACTTGCTTCTGAGGACACTAAGTGGCTCTCTGTTATCTGTACAGGTGGAAAACTGCCCAGTGGTATCAAGACAAGTAAAGTGAATGAGGCAGGTGGGGTTATAAACCCATTAAGAGGTGCATTTATAGTATTTTGTGTTTTTAGAGGCGGCTCCCATGCTTCTGTGCTGTGACGGCTCCCCAAAGGTGAGCCTCGAGATAACAGGCAGGAGGGCGTGGTGCAAGGTGTCGAGGAGGAAGCAGGGTCAAATCTAGGGAAGGAAGCAAGGGCATTGATATAAAGGGCAGTACAGCTTGCGTACTCGTAAACTTGAAAGAGTAACGTTGGCCACGCACTCCTACTTGAAAGAGGGCTTCCTTAACTTCCTGAACCACACATCTGAAGCCAGCCCAGGCCTTGATTGGAGCAGCAGAGATGACGATTTTTTTCTGTTAAGTGATAGATGTCAATAGTGTTTCGTCCCTGTATTTACATGGAGTGTGAGGATCGGCCCCAATTCCGTGGGCACAATGTCCCTCCGCTTACCAAGTGCCCTTCATGGATTCACAGTAAAAGCAGCCACTCAAGGTAGATTTCACTGCTGTATAAAGAGTAAGAAACTCAACTGGGATTCAGACTATGACTATTCTCAAAATTAATTTCTGCATTATTTCATTCTGTTAACAAGCATATATTGAATGAGAGATATGTCTAAGGTATTTGGCTTATACGCTAGATGGCAGACACTGGGAGGGCAGAGAGCAGGCTTGTTGTATTCCCTAACCCATGCTGACATCAGAGTCACATAACAGGTATTTGGAAAGTGAGTACATGAATAAACGAATGAGGAGGGAGGGAAGGAAGAAGGGGAAAGTGCATGAACACAGGCAGTTCAGAAGTAACGAGGACATTTCCTCACCCTCAGAGTTTAGTGTCCTACAGGAGGGATAAGCACATCAATAATCAACAGTGAAACAAAATTTAGTGAGTAAAATAAAAGAAGGAAAATGCGTTTTGGGGTTTCAGAGACAGATGGGAGGGAGGGGAATTTGAGAGAGAGAACTCCTACCTGGTGGAGAGAAATCGAGACAGTTATAAGATGAAGCCAACATTTAATAAAAATAAAGGATAAATAGGATTTCAACAGTTAGAACTGAGAACAGGGCATTCAAAGCAAAGGAAATAACTTGAGCAAGGGTGAAGATTCCAGGTTGTTCTGGAAGTATTCGAGGAACTTGCGAGGTCAGTATGGCCAACATGGAGGGCGTGGGAGCTCAGCGCGAACCGAGTGGAACTCACCTTGAGGGTCAGGCTGATGCGGTCAGCTCAGGGTTAGTGAAGGCAAAGAAGTGGGACTGGGAGTCGAGGAGGATGGAGAGCCAGAAAGTAAGCAACGGTCCAGATAAGAAGTGTTCAGGTGCTTGCCATGAAAATAGAAAGGAAAAATGGATGCCAAAAAGATAAACGAAGCCCACGTGTCCACACTGGATGAGTTGACTTTAAGGCAGAGGAAGATGTGTGACCCTGAGGTTTCCAACCTGGTGACAGACAACGACGATAGAAATAGGACCTTAGAGGAGGTGGTGGTTTTTGTAGGAAGAAGAAAAAGGAGTTAGTTAGGTATTGGAGATTTCATCTTGGGGACCTCATTAAACTGAAAACCAGACACCAGGTCTTTGGAGGTCCATATAGACACTCAGAATTTGGGGGTTAGTTCCACAGTCACCCACTCAACCAGCAGTGGGTAAAGCGTTACAATTTGTTTCTTCTCTTACATTGGCTTCCTCCATACTGAACAATGTCTAAAAGCCTTCCCTCTGTTCTCTTCTTTACTGTGCCATCTCTGCCCCCTGCAGATTTTATTTCACAGCCGATCGAACCAGAAACGGCATGCTAAGCCTGACACCGTGTTCTGTGAGGGCGGATTTAACTACCCCACACGACAAATTCCAATAGAAAATACTCTGAGTAACAAATCCATTGCCATGCTTATAGAAACAAGGAACATAGGGAAGCAAATCTACTTACAGCAAAGTCTGTATCACACATAATCTTCTACCAAAAAATAAAATAAAGCACTTTCTCTGGTCACCATGCATGTAATGATAGAAAAGGGCACAGAGCCAAGGAAATTAGGGATAATTCTCAGGGTATGATTAATATTCCAACTTGATTGAGGCCTCGGGTACATGTGGACCGGACCTGACCAATAGCTGAGCTCTTTCACTTCCTATTCCTGACCCCAAATAACAATGAGCAGTAACTACTTTATAATTCCCTTTACCCATCTCTTCATCACATCACATCTCTTCATCACATCACAATCAATTACACTCCTATACTCAAGAGTCATGAAGCCCTGGCCAGGTAGCTCAGTTGGTTAGAGCATTGTCCCGGTACGCCAAGGTTGTGGGTTCAATCTTTGGTCAGGGCACATGTAAGAATCAACCAATGAATGCATGAATAAGTGGAACAACAAATTGATCTCTCTCTCTCTCTCTCTCTCTCTCTCCCTCCCTCCCTCCCTCCCTCCCCTCTCCTCCTTCTCCTCTTCTCTCTAAACATTAAAACAAAAACAAAAACAGGCATGCACTACATCAAAAACAAAGAGAATCTGGAGCTTTGGATGAGTAATGAGTCTGGAACAGAGGATCTCTATGGGACATCTTCCCTCTACCTACTGGAATCTAAGCCATTCTTTTCACTCTTCATTTGCTGCTTGAACAAAAACCTCCATCACTACCCCCTCTCATCTGTACAGTCTACAAATTTAGATTGTGATTGGAAATAATGTATTGATCTAAAATAAAATCTAATAAAACTGCAAGAAAGTTGAATGTGCCATGAACAGAAATTAAAGCTGGAAGGAACCTTTAAGGCCTTCTAATCCAAGCCCTTTATTTTACAGATGAGGAAACTGAAGCCCAGAGAGGTGAAGTGAGGTGCCCAAGGCCACACAGCAAGTTAGAGGCACAGCTAGTACCATAGCTCAAGTCTCCTGACTCCCAGTCCAGTGCTCCTCCCATTACTCCACGGGTCCTGTCTCTAAGCTTCCTGACAAATGCTAGAACGGTAAACCTCCACTAGTATTTTTCCACACCATGTTAAAACTCTTAATGGGGCGGGAGGGGGGTTGGGGGGAGAGAGGATGCTTTCTTGGATAATGTCAGCCATACGTAGCTCAAGCTGTCTAAAGTTCTGGGACAGGGTCTTTTTATGCAGCCAACAGAGTCCAAATGTGGTGCTGTTTGCTTGGCCCATATGCTTTCATGTGTTCCCAGTTAGGACATTACTGGAGGGGGGAAAGAAAAAAAAAAACAAGAATCAGCTTGTTTTAAAACAAGGGACATACTGGACTTCCTCCCATCCCCCCTCAGAAAAAAAAAAATCAAGTTATCTTTAACAGATTCTAAAAATGCCTTTTCCCAAATATGCAGTCAGTTCCTTCAAAGGGCCCTTTGTTTATTTTCAGGAAGAAACCCAAGACAGCTGAAAACCAGAAGGCATCTGAGGAGAATGAGATTACTCAGCCCGGTGGATCCAGCGCCAAGCCGGGCCTTCCCTGCCTGAACTTTGAAGCTGTTTTGTCTCCAGACCCAGCCCTCATCCACTCAACACATTCACTGACGAACTCTCAGGCTCACCCCGGGTCGTCTGATTGTGAGTACACCAGCAAGGTGATGGTGTCTTCGCCGCGGAGCGTGCTCCTCCCCTGGCTTCTGGCGCTTTTGCTTCCCGAGCGAGCTGTTTCCATTTGGTCTTCAAGTAGCCCAGAGTAACTTGTCACCACCATTTTGATTCAGCCAACATCTCTGTTTTCAAAGCTGGAGTGTTAAAACCAGGTGACCGGCCCTTCGGCCTCAAAAGGCTGATTAATTACACAAAAACCACATTCTCTTTTATAACATGAACTCAAAAATGGAAGTTGTGACGCTAGGTTGCTGCTTTCCGATGCTGCCTTTGTCCCCGTGATCAGAATAATGGCACTTACACCATGATTTAATTGAGCAACCAAATATGGGCCTCAAAAGACCAGTTAGTCGCAAGGAAACATCCATTTTGAAATTACATAACACAGATCAGCTTTGCATTAGTTGTTGGAGTCTCATGTAGCTTGGCTGAATTTGTCTTTGCAGTTTTTAATTTATTTTGAAGTGGTTAAAGGATAGCATAAATTTACAGAAGAAAAGAGAGTGGCTTCCAAGGACCCAGAAGCCACCCAGACATCACGTAGCCAATAAGAACTCAGGTTAAAAATATCTTTTAATTAAAAAAACTGCCTATGGGCTAAATTTGGAAATGGGCAGCTTAATGAGATCGTCGCTATTGAAATCACCCCATTGCTGTTTATTTTCGCTGTCTTCTCACTAATCTGGGAGTCACTTCTTTAAATTCTATTTTAAGAAAGTTGATAAATCACATTTAGGAGATTTTTTTTCTTGTTCTGAAACATACCCCAATACTCTCGAGAGAAAGAAATACGTATGTTAAGGAAGGAAAGGAAGTGGAAAACATTGGGGTCCAGTCTGAAAGAACACCCCTTTTAGTCCCGAGATACCCAATAGCTACTCTGAACCCATCTCGAAGAGACTCTGGTGTCAGGCAAAGAGCTGGCATATTCTTGTTAAGAATGACCCAAGGAAAGTTTTGTTTAAAAAAAAAAAAAAAAAAGACTCTATGTATTCTATCCACGAATACAAAAATTACTAATTAGGACATGAGATTCTAACTTTCCCTGTGTTATTATTCTGACAAAACAAATGTAAAACTGCAAAGAGGGCGTGAGGTGCATGAGTCTGGGAGACTGCACACCCTCCTGGCTTCATCATGGTGGTCTCTAGACCCAGGGGGTGGTCAGGGTGCAGGAAGACCGTCCTCTCCATGGTGGGCCGAGACCCCACTCCAGCTGCACTAGAGCGTGAACCGAGAATAAGGAGATCAGATCTGCACAGCCAGAGGGGCCTGTACAAAGTCGCCACTTCTCCCGAGAAACCTGGGGCTCAGAAGCGGGGACTGTGTTCTGTGGGCCATTGTAATAGGAGCATCCTTGGCCCCTCTTGCCTGGCAGTCTCCAGCCGAATAGTAATTACAGGAAGAATTGGAAAACAGCGTGGCAGAGTGCCCACAGACATGTGCACGCTGTCCCTACCTACCAGGAAGGTAGCCTGTTCCTGTGGAGATGGGCCTGGAGCTCCCGCGCAGACCTGCCCCGCCTGGCGCTCTGCCGTGCCGTGTGGGGAAGGCTACATAGAGTGGCCTGAGCCCAGAAGTCCCCTGTTGCAGCAAAGGGCTCTTCTGAGTAGAGGAAGCACTGGGCTTCATTTATTGTACTTTACTGTAAGCATCCTCTGACCGGCCCCGGTGTCGCGTGGAATATGTACACGGAACTATATACACGTGGCGCTGCCATACAGCTCCTCGGCCACGGGAGGACGGTCAGTGGGGGTCCAAGCACCGAGGAGAAACCTAATCTCCAGCTGTTTCAGAAGTCATTTTGATTTTGCCATTAAGATGTGAAAGTCTTTTCTGCTCCAACATGTTGTTTAGATTGATTATATTTTCCTCCAAATATATTCAAACTGTAGTTTGTCCTGATTTGAGCTTACACTTAGAAGAGAATTGCTTTTTAGGAGAGAGTCAGAGAAATCTGGCCATTTGGAGATAGCTTCAGAGAAGATAGGAAAGGGGTTTCGTTTAAGCCGTTAAAGTTTGTGGAGGCTCCTCTTGCATTCAAGAGAATTTTTTCCTTCTTTCTTTCTTTCTTTCTTTCTTTCTTTCTTTCTTTCTTTCTTTCTTTCTTTCTTTCCTTTCTTTCTTTCTTTTTAACTTTCATTGTCATTCTTACCACAGATTGATTTAAAAGCCTAATTTCTTGAAGGTAAAATAATTCAGTTCTTGTTTAGAACTAACAGATTTGGGGCATTTACAGACAGTGCCCTTGACTTGTCGTCTCGTTAACTTCAGAAGTGCCCCCGGCGGGCAGTGTTCCCGCTGTCACGAGCGTCTCGGTGGTACAGCATGTGTTTATTTGTCATGTGTTTAACAGAACTATTCTTAGTCGTGCTTTAATTCCCACCTCCTGTCAGTCGTCATCCTTCCCAGTTTACAGATGAGAACACTGAGAAAACGGACAGACGGATGAATGACTTGCTTGGTCATTAACTCATTCAGATACTGAGGGATGTCTGTGGCTTTGCTCTCGCTGTGGGCAGCCTGGGCTCTCTGTTCCAAGCCCAGAGATGGCATTCCAGGCTGTAAATGGGCATCTTGAGAATGTGCAACTACTCATTTTGGTGAGTGGGTTATAAAACACGGCGTATAAACTTCCCCACAGGAGGGAAGTCGGCTCTGAGTATGAACTGGTGCAGGTGGCTAAGCCACAGCAGGGTTGCATCTGAAGGACACAGGCCACGTTGTAGGGAGAAGGGGAGAAGTCTGACCCCTTAAATTCTCAATGGACTCTTTAACCTGCTGGGCCACTTCCAGTTTGGCCAGAGATCCCAGGAGTGTTCAAAACAAGAAGGAAGCTGGTCGAGAAGTGCTTTCCGCTGTGAGATGATGAAATTAACATCACTGCTGAGATGTGTGGTGCTTTGCAGCGCCCCACTAACATTGTCCTGTTAGCAGTGTTCCCCATTACCTCCTAGCTTGGCACCTCTTCGCCATTCCTCAAAATCTAGTGCCGCCCTGGCCGGTTTGGCTCAGCGGTTAGAGCGTCGGCCCACAGACCAGAAAGTCCTGGGTTCGGTTCCTGCTAGGGGCCCGTACCTCGGTTGCAGTTTGTCCCCAGCCCCGGTTAGGGTCATGTGGGTGACAGCCAGTTGATGTGTCTCTCTCACATCGATGTTTCTCTCTCTCTCTCTCTCTCTTCCTCCCTCTCTCCCTCCAAATCTATCTGAAGATAAATGCAAAAATGTCCTCAGGTGAGGATTAAAAAAAAAAATCTAATGCCAAACACTCAGATGATGATAATCGGAAGCATTAAGGTGAGTTTTGAAATGGGTACAAAACCCCCAGGTGTCTGACAGGACAGTTACCTGCTGAACAGGCTGAGGATAGGCTGAGCCAGGCTCTCCCTTCAGATGCTGAATTCCACCAAGTCAGGAGAGCAGCCACGGCTCTCCCTGTGAAAAACCTCTTGTGACAAACGTCAAGCTGCAGCTCATCCCAGTCACGTATACGTGATAGAAACCACCTGCACTTTTACTTGCATATTTCTTTCGTATCAGTTTCCCCAAAATAAGCCTCCACTTGCAGGGAGTGGAGGAGTGACTGCCTCCTGGGCAGGCCGCCCTCCTTCTGCCTGGGGACCCACCGACCCTGTTGTCTGTCTTTTGTTGGGAGTTGACTCTGTGGTTGCTTACCTTCCCGTGTTTTGTACTGGTCTCATCAGACTGTCTTATTTTTGTGTGTCCTTGCCAAGATGCATTAACAGTTTTTATTTATTTTTAATTTACCCTTTACACATCACCAAACTGTCGTGTGGGTGGGTTTAACTTTAGCTCCGGAGGTAGCGTGACTCTGCTGGGGCTGAACACTGGCGAGAAGGCTGCCGGCTCGTCCCTCTCTCTCGCCATCCACCTTCACGGGCCTTTCCCCTCCCCAGCCCTTTGCTTCGCACATCCAAGTCCCCGCGATGAACATTTTCAGTACACTTGGTTCGGTTTGAACTTTTAAGCAATTTTTTTTGAAGAACAAAACAAAGAGGATTTTTTACGGCAAACTCCATTAATGCCACATTAAGGCTGACATTTTAATTACCCCAAAGTCAGGAAATGCAAAGTTCAGGTTCCCACAGCAACAGAAACTGTCCCCTTCAGTGCAGGCCTCACAGCAGATTCTTTCATCCCCTGATTACACAACACCAGGCACAGGGACATTGTTTTTATCCACATACGTGGAAAGGAGCTCAGCTTATATCCTTTGTTTTCTTCCTGTAACTACAGCTGAGGATATGGGCCGTTGCCCCCCCCCCTCCCCCCCAGGCCATCTATATGCATGATCCTGGAGTGGGGCTATCACAGCCCTGCATGTGCACACGGACAGAATTAAAGTTGCTGTGGGAACATTAACTCTGATTTCCGGACTTCCGTGCCAGTCACATTTAAACCATAATGTTGTAATTTTTGGCATGTAATAAATGTGCATTTCATGTACACAGACAGAAAGAAGCATAAAATGTATTTTAAAGAGCAATTAATTACTAACTTTGTGATTAAAAACCATTTGGTACATGTTCCTTCCCATTTAGCATCAGCTGCTGGTCTTAGCCAGGCCTAATAGATGACATACTGTGTCTCATCCTGTATCTCAGATGTACTTACTGTATGTTCCTGTTCTTCTAGATAATTAATTCCCTTCGTAAAGCTGTAGGGGGAAAACAAAATGGAAGGAATATGCAAGCATGTAAATAGGGTAAAGGATATTTTGAAGGAAATGATTCATTTCTGCAAATAAACCTCTTAGTCCCTGATAAAGAGCCAGAAATCTGCTAAGTGGGTGTAGACTAAGGTTCCTGGCCACCTTAGAGCATCTGGTCCAGGGCCATAGAACAACTTGAAAGCAGATTTCCCCCTGAATTCTGGGCATGCCCAATGGGGGAGTGGTTTTACTCTATAATAACTTTTCAGACGTCAGGCTGAAAAAGTTATTTTACTTTG